ACATATATATATTACTATATATATAATTATATATATATATATAATTATATATAATATATATATATATATATACGTGTGTGTGTGTTTGTGTGTGTGTGTGTGTGTGTTATATGTATATATGTACACGTAGTTAATTTTATATCAATCAAATACACTACAGCCATTGTATGGATTCCTACCGAAAGAGCCTATCAAAATAAAGAATGTGGGCCCGGCAGACAAGAACCTCTTTTATATAGTGGATGAAGAGGTCGACCTTACCAGCATCATCAACGCACCCTTGCCACCATGTCCTGTAGATGTGACATTCTGTGCTCATTGGCTGGCTATTGAGGGTATCCAGCCAGCCATACCCGAGAATCCCCAAAGTACGTGTACAGCCTGGGGTATATATATATATATATATATATATCGATAGTACCAGCCAGTCTCGAAGAAATATTGCCAATTCAAAGAAATATTGCCAATTCAATGCGGACATTCAATTCATCGGGGTTATGGTGTTTCTGTCCTTGCACAAAGCTCGTTTGTTTCGCTATATATACCTATGTTTAATATACTCTGTTCTAATTGTTCTGGATATTTTTTTTAGTAATTGTGGCTCGCGACAGAACTTCGCAAAGGAATTGCAAGTTACAACGACTGAGAAGCCAATATCTCTGTGGTCTTCAATTACATATTTATCACATTGTTCTATTGAGAACAGGAGTGCGTGCAGGGGTGGGTTGTATATTAGAAGACGCGTAGGCATGTATGTATGTTTACCTGCCTTCTTATTATTGTAATCGTGACTTCTGATAAGTGCATTACGACGAAGCCACAAGTAACAAAGACCGAGAAATCCAATACCTCTGTAGTTCGACCTTTCTCCCAACTTACACCTTATGGTTGCACTACCCCTTTCCCCGTGCGTTAGTTATTGTAACGTCCGACAAGAACTTCACTAAGAAACCGCAAGAGACCAAGACAGAGAAGGACGCCAAGGCAGGCGAGAATGCGAAGAAGCCCACGGGTGTTGCGACCATGGCGCAGCAGATGGGAGTTCCCACCGATGCGAAGCCAACTGTGAGTCACGTGTTGTCGAAGGAGCAACAACTGTACTATGAGAAGATGACAGAGGCCGTAATCGGTATGTAGTGCAGCGGAGGTGCAAGTCTCCGGCCTCAGCTGTGTGTGTGCGATATGGGTGTATATAGAAGTTTCGATCACACATGTGTGGGGTGTAGTGTGTGGATATATGTGTTTTGTCTCACAGGCAGTTCTATATATAGCAACCAATCGTGACCGACTGTATTCAGGGAGTCTTCGTAGGCTATGAGAGGCTAAGTCACCGGAACATACGCTACGATGCCGATGTGGCTACACAGAGCTGCACTACAATTGCCTTGCACTCTATGTAGCCCACTCAGACATGTGTGCGAATTGAATCGGGCTTGGGTTGCCTTCCTTGGGGTTTTTTACAACCTATTTTCCTGGGCTTTTATACCTACGTTAACCGCGTTTTCGGTTGTTCTTCATGCTCATGCCCATATCTGGCATTTTCAATACTCTCAATTTTCTTATAATTATATACTGCGCCCTTTTTAGACAAATATAGTAATTTTCACAACAAACATGGCACCTCAATTTATCTGGCACCTATTTTCACTGTATAATCAATAACCATATATGGCACTTGTTTTTATCCATATATGGTGTTCCTTCTGACCATATATAGGTGTCGAAGAGCGGTTACGGGTCGTTGCTTTGGAAAGTCTACGTTACGACCCCGGCTTACAGCAGTTGCTGCCATACTTCTGCCAGTTCATTACAGAGAAGGTAAGCAATCTATTTATAGAATCATGTGCTCACAGCATAGGTGCTTTACTGCATCCTTGGGGTCAGTGTGTTCAACTAGATCGATTTGTTCTCTATTGCTGACATTTGTAAGGATTTAGGCTTGTAAATTTTACACTTAGAACGTCTGTACCGTTTTACCTGACGGCTCAGACCCTGACGACTGAGAATATACACTGCTCCAATTGATCTATCCACACTCTACTACACACACTCGGTACAATAATATATATATTATATATATACATATATATATATATATATGTATATATATATATATATATATATATATATATATGTGTGTGTGTGTGTGTGTGTGTGTGTGTGTATATATGTTGTT